TATATCGGTATGTATTACATGCACCACAGTTTGAGAATCCCTGGTTTATATGACCATGTTCTTCCTTCACCTGAGTACAAGAGGATGCTGTGCTATATTTTGACCTTTCTTGTCATCCGAAATGACGCAACATTTCATAAAGCTCGCACGCAAAGAATCTATTTTTAACATTTAGTACTTGGGGAAAAACCTTGCGTATTAAAGACTATATGTCTCATTTAATATTTCAATAACGTATAGACTTAATCATTAGTACGAGAGGTTTGTCTTATCAAAGAAGGATGTCTTGGAGTGGGCAAACATTTGGACAAGACATAACAGTACTTAAAGATGAGGCGATTAAACATTGATACTTTGGTCTTGTTTTTTGCTATATGAGATGACAGATACTCTCTTACATGTATGATAATCAGATTAGTAGGTGTATGTTACGTCACTGTAAGTCCAGTGTTAGTTGAGGTGTACATTGTGTCATTATAAGTCCAGTGTAATTGTGGTGTATGTTGAATTTGTAGTATGGTAAGTCCAGTGTTGGTTGAGTTATATGTTATGTCACTGTAAGTCCTGTATTGGTTGAGCTGTATGTTATGTCATTGTAAGTCCAGTGTTAATTGAGGTGTATGTTGTGTCATTGTAAGTCCAGTGTTGGTTGAGGTGTATGTTATGTCATTGTAAGTCCAGTGTTAATTGAGGTGTTTGTTGTGTCATTGTAAGTCCAGTGTTAATTGATGTGTATGTTGTGTCATTGTAAGTCCAGTGTTAATTGAGGTGTATGTTGTGTCATTGTAAGTCCAGTGTTAATTGAGGTGTATGTTATGTCATTGTAAGTCCAGTGTTAATTGAGGTGTATGTTATGTCATTGTAAGTCCAGTGTTGGTTGAGGTGTATGTTATGTCAATGTAAGTCCAGTGTTAATTGAGGTGTATGTTATGTCAATGTAAGTCCAGTGTTAATTGAGGTGTATGTTATGTCATTGTAAGTCCAGTGTTAATTGAGGTGTATGTTGTGTCATTGTAAGTCCAGTGTTAATTGAGGTGTATGTTATGTCATTGTAAGTCCAGTGTTAATTGAGGTGTAAGTTGTGTTATTGTAAGTCCAGTGTTAATTGAGGTGTATGTTATGTCATTGTAAGCCCAGTGTTAATTGAGGTGTATGTTGTGTCATTGTAAGTCCAGTGTTAATTGAGGTGTATGTTGTGTCAATGTAAGTCCAGTGTTAATTGAGGTGTATGTTGTGTCATTGTAAGTCCAGTGTTAATTGAGGTGTATGTTATGTCATTGTAAGTCCAGTGTTAATTGAGGTGTATGTTATGTCATTGTAAGTCCAGTGTTAATTGAGGTGTATGTTGTGTCAATGTAAGTCCAGTGTTAATTGAGGTGTATGTTGTGTCATTGTAAGTCCAGTGTTAATTGAGGTGTATGTTATGTCATTGTAAGTCCAGTGTTAATTGAGGTGTATGTTATGTCATTGTAAGTCCAGTGTTAATTGAGGTGTATGTTGTGTCAATGTAAGTCCAGTGTTAATTGAGGTGTATGTTGTGTCATTGTAAGTCCAGTGTTAATTGAGGTGTATGTTATGTCATTGTAAGTCCAGTGTTAATTGAGGTGTATGTTGTGTCATTGTAAGTCCAGTGTTAATTGAGGTGTATGTTATGTCATTGTAAGTCCAGTGTTAATTGAGGTGTATGTTATGTCATTGTAAGTCCAGTGTTAATTGAGGTGTATGTTGTGTCATTGTAAGTCCAGTGTTAATTGAGGTGTATGTTGTGTCATTGTAAGTCCAGTGTTGGTTGAGGTGTATGTTATGTCAATGTAAGTCCAGTGTTTGTTGAGGTGTATGTTGAACTAGTAATATGGTAAGTCTAGTGTTAGTTAAGCTGCATTTTGTAATATCGTGGTAGGTCCAGTGTTAGTTAAGTTGTATTTTGTAATATCGTGGTAGGTCCAGTGTTAGTTAAGTTGTATGTTGTAATATCATGGTAAGTCCAGACAGAGATTCTTTCAGATATTTTCCTCGGGGGGGGGGGCAGGGGGAGGATTTTTGATTTTCAGGTGAGGGCCGTGCCGGCTACCATTTGCGTAGCTAGGGGGAGGCAGAAGGGACGCATGTCCCCGGGCACCAGACCAGCGGGGGAACCAAATTGGGATTTGAGAGTATTTATTTGATGAAGATAATGGGTTTCAGAAATAAAGCGGGGAGGGGAGCGATTTAAAAAAATCAATCTTATCCCCTGGCACCAAACGCCCCAGTTATGCCCCTGCCAGTAGCAAAGAAAGGGTGGCGGATGGGGTTGTCCAGCTCGGTGTCATTATTTCTTTATATGGAGGAGTCTCATTTTTATTGTGAAAGAGAGGGCGACCAAAATCGATGGCGGCACTAATAATAGCTACGCCACTAGGCAGTGCATTGATCGGCAAAAAAATTGGCGATAATATTTATCAGTATTGTGGGGCGAAAATTGAGGACACCGATGGTTCTTGGGCGGAAGAAGGGTCAGCTATTGTCATTTTTATCGGGAAGTGGGGCGCAAATCGAGGGCGCCGACTAATTTTGAGCGGAAAGGGGTGGGGCAAGGGGTCTGGGGATCACTTCCCCAGAATTTTTTTGATTATATAAAAATCAAGAGGTCAGTTTTGAGTATACCTCAATTCAGCGTTATTATATTTTGTTAGATTGGGGTAATGGAATTTTTCAAGCGTCCTTGGGGGGCATTATTGTGCCCAGTAGGGGGCCTACTATACATAAACTCCAAATAATTTTTTTATTCATTCAAAATGCACGGATGCATTTTGGCGCACAACTGAATTCGATGTTTCTTTAAGACAATTTGGAAGGTGGTCATTTCGAACTTCTGGTGGGAATCACCAGAGTTCATAATAAAGATCAGGTCCATCTCTAACTCCGCCCCAGCACAACGTGAACTAAACTCATTCCAGCTGGTTCCCTTGAGGGTATAGGCTACTTCTTGCCATAGCGGAGAGTTACCCCTTCAATTTTTATAGTTTTGATAAATTTAAAATGTGATGGATTTTTTAGCATATACATAAATTTAGTTTTGAATCATTGTACAGGTACACTTAATCGGATAACAGTGGGAGAGATGCTAGTTAAATATTTATGGTCTCATTTTACTTCAGAGCCATCGTGTGGGCCCTGCAACCCCCTGAGGTTGCAATGGGGCATGGTCATGGGCCTCCGATAATTTAGGGGTTTAAAGTTGTGCTGTGGACACTTTTTAAACGATCAAATTTGAAAACAGGGTGGTGGAAGGACCTAGTTATGCAAACCAAATAGTTTTGTTTAGGTTACTAAATAACACTAGTTTTTTTTCCCCTTTTATTAAAACTATTTTTGAGTTAAACTACTTTTAATTATTTTACTAGAACCTTTTTTTTAAAACAAATCCATTAGAAATTTGGTGTTAAATTGACGATTTAGAAAGTGTTTTTTTCTTCCTAAAACTAGTAAATAAAACAGGGCGGCATGATAATCGAATTTCCAAATTTAAAAAAAGTTTTTAAAATCGCGAAGTCGCCAAAAAAATAATTAATAATACCAAAAAAGTTAACAAAAATACCGATATATGAATCTATGTGCACAACAGGAAGTAATCTTCCGGAGCAGCCAAATTTCGTACTGTACGATATTTATAATCGAACAGTTTAAACCTCTAACAAGCTTAGCCTAATACTCAGTTCACACAATACAATTTTCGTCTATTTGCGTCAAATTTCCTTTTGAACACACTAGTTATTAAAATAAAATAGTGCGTTCAAAAAGAAATTTGAAGAACATTTGATCGTGTGAACTGAGCTTTAAATAGACGGAACATCAAATATATCGAGCCTAGCGATATTTTACTGGTTCCACTAATTGTAATCGATTAAAGCCACCAGTTATTATTCTTTTTAAAATGCTGTTTACAATTTAGTAGTTTTTTTAAAAATAAAATATATTCCCGTTTGGCTAATCCTAGTTAAGATTGCCACAACTTATTTTCCAGGGAGTGACTTCCCTTTGTTTATTTTTACTAACTTATTTTAGGGATCTATTTAGTTTAGGCTTAGGGTTCAGGTTAGGCATAGGTACTTGAGTAAAATTTTCAAAATTAAGTTATGGTATAATAGTATAGGCATAGCTTTATTAAGAGCAAGTTGGTTAGACAGGGCCTGAAAAATGCAATTCATTGATACCAATTTTATGTTTGTAGGTCAATTCTAAAGAAAGTTATGATATTTTCGTGAATTATTTTGGGATAACTCTGTTAATTGAGACATATAGGAAAATATAAAAGTGACTTAAATAAAAATTGGGCAGAAAGTTGGAAGAGATGTTAAAAAAGAGCAGTAAATTGAAGTTATTTAATGAATTAATAAAGATAACCGTAGCAAACCATATATATCTGTGATCGTCATAACATTATCCAAACTGACGTCTTATAATAAATTCTATGGTACGCAAGATGAGCTCATTAATATTCAAAATGGCCGTAGAATTTCCATATGTCATATTTGAATATGAACACAACATGAATAAAATTCTTCAAAATATAGGGTCATGTATATCAAATTGTTCGTATTGAAAAGGGGAAAAATAATAAGTAGCATATGGAAGGGTGAACCAATGTGTCCATAAAAAAATTTAATTTATTTTATATCTCCGATAGCCAATCAATATCTGATATTAAATGTACAATATGTAGATAATTGATAATAGTAGGAGTTTTTCTTGCATGGGGGGTATCTTTCAAGTCTATACTCTTGTTGCTAAGTTTAGCATTAGTTTTTCATAGAATCCCTACAATTAAAAAAGAATTGTGCTGCTTCAACTATTGCCTACAAATTGCAAATATGATAAACATTATGATGTCATTTGATAGGCCTTTAAAAAAATAAAACAAAGTATTTTTGTGTGTGAAGCAATTCAAAGTATCAATTCATCTAAATACTAAAAAATCTTAATTTTAAATCTATTATGAAGATAAAATATACTTTTCTTCATATTTCCATGCTACAAATGTGTCAGGTAGCTTAGACCAAACTCCCTAATAGGCCTATTATATGGGAGTGGAAGTTTCACTATTTAAATCAAGAAATACAATTAAATATCTATTTATATGTCTTCTTTGTTAATAATATTAACCTCAAATAACTTAAAATAGTGCTTTTAACATTGTTTATTAATCAGATTACTTAAGATTTAAAAATGATTTGCAGAGGTGGATTCGGCCATCTTGAAAATGATATCCAGGGAAGAAATGCCCATGTGGTGACTGTTTTGAAAATTTAATAAAACTGTTGGGGGGGACTTTTGATTTGCACATTCTTGTAGATAAGTTGGATGCTCTAAACAGTGGTTATCATGAAAATCGAGTCTGGTGGAGTCTCTACAAGAAATTAAATATTAGACTTAGCTTCATTCAACTTGATAGGCCTATATATATTTTTTTCAATAGTGATTACAAATCGGAAGACACAGTATTATTCAGCTGCCAATTCTCTTTAAAATATTTATCACACTACCTATCAATAAAGAAATAACCACAAAACGCATTTTTTCCCAATGCATACGCAATGTTTACATTTTGAAGTGGACAAAAAGTTGAACAAGGGGCATGTAACTCTGCAATGATTTGACACCAGCAGAAAACTGGTTTACCCAAGTACCTACCCGCATAGGAATCGATTTAGGGTTCAGGTTAGGCATAGGGATAGATGACTTCACGTGACGTGTTAACCAAGATGGCGGCCATTGAGAAAATAGTGGCAATCACAGTCAAAATTTACCTTACGTTTTATTGTAGTACACATTACCCCCACCCCCAAGGGGAGGGGGGCCACTTGAAATTTTCGGGGGAGAAAGACACTGCCATCTCACCCACACTCCACGCCGAGATGCCGGAAAAAAGCACTGTCCAGAGTTAGTTTATTAGTTTATATTTAAGTTGTGTGTGTGTGGTGTGTTGTAAATATGGTAAGTCCAGTGTCAGCTGAGCTGTATGTTCTTATATCATGGTAAGTCCAGTATTAGCTGAGCTGTAAGTTGTAATATCATGGTAAGTTGCATGGGGAGAGTTGATTTGTTGTCCAGGGAACCAGCTTATCCTCCTAAAAGAAAAATCCCAAGCCTTGTGATTTCCTCTAGGAGGTCTATACACCATCATCACAATGTGACCGACGAATACCAGAAAATTTGATATTTCAATAAGATACTTTTGACAATACTTTGATAGAATCTGTCAATTGTCATATGACTAAATGGAATGTTTGATATTATTTGGACAGGATAAGGGAGAGCTATGGGTTGATTTTCACACTTTTCTCATATAGATAGGTGCACCATCTTTTATATGTTGAGTTAATTTAAGCTGAATTTGCAGTTGTAAAATCATTAACCCTGATCTTTGTTTTTTGGTCTTTAGAATATATGTGATGTGACAACCCATCCGCCCTCCCCTACGTTATTTATGTTGACATACCTATTTGATATTATGATTAGAATTCAAATTTATTATAATAAGGCAATATGGATGACGATGGCTAATTTTGTCTTGATTTTTTTAGTAGAAAGGTTTCTAGGTCGTGAATCTTACAAATACAGGCGATGTCATCTGAGAATGTCAATATTGGTGCTGAGCCAACAGGGATTCCCCTTTTCCTCAGAAAGAGCTCTTTAGAGGTAAATGGATGGAGAATACCCCATTTTCCAAGAATTGATGATCCTGTTGTTCACATTCACAAGATACAGGAACTGCCAATCAGGGAGGATGACGTACTCATAGCAGCATATCCAAAAAGTGGTAAATTTCATGTATTAGAACACTAAATAAAACATAGACTAGATGCATGTATCAGAACACTAAATAAGAGATAGACATATACATGTATTAGAACACTAAACTAAACATAGACTACTTTTGACATCTAGTTCCTAAAATTTTAATTTTAGGTAACACACAATGTTGAACTACCGTAGTAGGGCTTCAACCAGTGCAGTTCTTTTACACCAGTTCCGAGTATTTTGAGAAAAAGGCCAACAGACAGTCCTACACTCTACCTGTCAGCTTTTAAACTATAGTCCTACAGACAGAGTCCTACACTCTACCTGCCAACCTTTAAACTATTGTCCTACAGACAGTCCTTCACTCTACCTGCCAGCCTTTAAACTATAGTCCTACAGACAGTCCTACACCATACCCATGGCTCATTTTTTATTATGGATATAATAGTGGCCTCCCCCTATAAAACCTTGAGTTGGGGGGAGAGTGGTTTCAAAAATGAAGCAGGACACAATAGAAACTAAATATATAAAAGAGATAATGATAGGGTTCAGTGGACATGGTTAGTTTGGGAAAATATTGCTTGGCGGATATAAGGAGTTAAAACAGTATATTTCTTGGCCTCCAAGCTAGTTTAGCCAGAATATTGTGTTGCATTCTTGGTGACGTAACTACGCTGGTGGAGATGGAGAAACCCCAAAGGGAAATATGAAAAAAGATGGCTGAGCATTCTTTTCATTGATCCATTTTAGTTGTATTATAGGTAAAGGTTTGTGAAGGGATGTACAGCAAGGCCATTTCAGTGCATGTCTTGGGTGTAATTTCAGTGCATGCCCTGGGGGTCATTTTAGTGCTAGCCTTGGACACTATTTCAGTGCATGCCTTGGGCGCTATATCAGTGCTTGCCTAGGTCACTATTTATTTAATTTAGTTTAAAAATGTTTCTCACAGTTGTATCCCTCCTGCAGGCACCCACTGGTTGTGGGAGGTAACTCACATGCTACTGAACCAGACGACAGAATATGAGAAACGGGTCAAGGAACAAGTCATGTTGGAGTTTGCTGGTGCCCTGGAGGCGGTGGAAAAGGAACCTTCCCCAAGGATTCTCAATTCTCATCTCGTGTTCCCCCATCTCCCGCTAGAAGTCATCACGAAAAAGATCAAGGTTATTCTGACAACACATTTCTAAGCCATTCTATTTAAAGCAAAAGTGGGCCTACTTCCTACAAAACAATTCTATCAGAGTCTATATCATGTGAAATTCTATGAATTTTATTTCTAGAATGCTTATTTCAAACAAATGTAATTTCCATGTGGTATGTCATTTCATGTCTAATTGTCTTTGTCAATGGTTTGTCTTGGTTTTGTTGGTTTGTCTTGGTTTTGTTGGTTTGTCTTGGTTTTGGTGGTTTGTTTTGGTTTGGTGGTTTGTCTTGGTTTTGTTGATTTGTCTTGGTTTTGTTGGTTTGTCTTGGTTTTGTTGGTTTGTCTTGGTTTTGTTGGTTTGTCTTGATTTTGGTGGTTTGTCTTGGTTTTGTTGGTTTGTCTTGGTTTTGGTGGTTTGTCTTGGTTTTGTTGGTTTGTCTTGGTTTTGGTGGTTTGTCTTGGTTTTGTTGGTTTGTCTTGGTTTTGGTGGTTTGTCTTGGTTTTGGTGGTTTGTCTTGGTTTTGGTGGTTTGTCTTGGTTTTGGTGGTTTGTCTTGGTTTTTTTGTAGTGATATTTATTTTTTATCAGGTTTATTTATAAACAAATTGAAAAGTTCATTAACAACTAATTTTATCCTCAGATTATCCACGTCACCCGAAATCCCAAAGATACTCTTGTATCCTTATATCATCACTTCAAACAGTTAACCCCAAGAGCTTCCTTCACCTTTGACCTTTTGTTAAAAACTGTGATGGAAAACAATAGTAAGTCTTTTATGTGTTTTGTGGTATTCTATAGGTGATGGTGGGTAAAAACCTATTCTTCACACCTGAATAAATCACTTTATGATGGTGGGTAAAAACCTATTCTTCACATCTGAATAAATCACTTTATGATGGTGGGTAAAAACCTATTCCACACATCTGAATAAATCACTTTATGATGGTGGGTAAAAATCTATTCTTCACATCTGAATAAATCACTTTATGATGGTGGGTAAAAACCTATTCCACACATCTGAATAAATCACTTTATGATGGTGGGTAAAAACCTATTCCACACATCTGAATAAATCACTTTATGATGGTGGGTAAAAACCTATTCCACACATCTGAATAAATCACTTTATGATGGTGGGTAAAAACCTATTCCACACATCTGAATAAATCACTTTATGATGGTGGGTAAAAACCTATTCCACACATCTGAATAAATCACTTTATGATGGTGGGTAAAAATCTATTCTTCACATCTGAATAAATCACTTTATGATGGTGGGTAAAAACCTATTCTTCACATCTGAATAAATCACTTTATGATGGTGGGTAAAAACCTATTCCACACATCTGAATAAATCACTTTATGATGGTGGGTAAAAATCTATTCTTCACATCTGAATAAATCACTTTATGATGGTGGGTAAAAATCTATTCTTCACATCTGAATAAATCACTTTATGATGGTGGGTAAAAACCTATTCTTCACATCTGAATAAATCACTTTATGATGGTGGGTAAAAACCTATTCCACACATCTGAATAAATCACTTTATGATGGTGGGTAAAAACCTATTCCACACATCTGAATAAATCACTTTATGATGGTGGGTAAAAACCTATTCCACACATCTGAATAAATCACTTTATGATGGTTGGTAAAAACCTATTCTTCACATCTGAATAAATCACTTTATGATGGTGGGTAAAAACCTATTCCACACATCTGAATAAATCACTTTATGATGGTTGGTAAAAACCTATTCTTCACATCTGAATAAATCACTTTATGATGGTGGGTAAAAACCTATTCCAAACATCTGAATAAATCACTTTATGATGGTGGGTAAAAACCTATTCATCACTTTATGATGAATGTATAAAAATCAATTAAGAAACTCTTGACTTTAGGATTTATCATAATTTATGTTCCGCACTTACTTGACCTATATTTAAACAATGATTTTCTAAAAAGAAACTATTTAATGGACATGGGATGTAAAACAAAAATAAAATAATAATATTTGATATGTGTTACGCACTGGCTTCTCTTGTGAGAAATTTATCTCCTATTTTAAATTTATGGCTCATTCAAACATTGCCTAACAAAGGACGATAACATAGAGAAATAAAATAACAAAAGTACGACACCCAAAACAGTACCAATTACAATTAATAAGATTTAATTTAGTAATAATACAATTACAAAAGAAAAGAAATATCATTACAAATCATCAACTTACAGTATTGGTAGATCTTGTACCGGTACACAGTTAACACAATGGATCAAACGGAAGTTTGGTCGAATCTTTCAAACAAATTTCCAGATATGCATTTTGATTTCCACATTGATGCTCTGTAATGACTCTGCCTTCGGTACACAGTTAGTGCAATGTGCCGATGAATAATGATGAATGATCAATGCGAATAAACAAATATAAGTACACAAAGAATAATACACGTCTCGTGAAGTTAAAAATATCTATCAATCTCCGTCCTCTGTCTGTGCCTGTCAATCCTTTATATATGTGGGTCTACCAACGCGTCTAGAAATGCCCTTACTTTTCTAATACAATCGAGAACGTTCCATAAGATACTGGTAGACATACTAACCATGTTTAATTGGTGATCGGTAGTAAACATGATACATCAAAGACTAAGCCACGCCTGGTAGGAATCTAATGTGGGCTGAAACAAAGTTCAAGCACGGGAGAAAAGTGCACTACATAACATATGTGAAGGTACCGGTACAAACCTGTTCTAAAACTATTTAATTGATATGTGTGCTAACCTATTCTAAAACTATTTAATTGATATGTGTATAAACCTTTCTAAAAATATTAAATTGATATGTATACCTATTCTGAAATTATTTTATTTCTATGTGTACCAACCTAATCTCAAACAATTGAATTGATATGTGTACAAACCTATTCTCAAACTATTTAATTGGTATGTGTACAATCCTATTCTCAAACTATTTAATTGGTATGTGTAAAAACCTATTCTCAAACAATTTAATTGATATGTGTACTGACCTATTCTCAAACAATTGAATTGATATGTGTACAGACCTATTCTCAAATAATTTAATTGATATGTGTACAACCTATTCTCAAACAATTGAATTGATATGTGTACAGACCTATGCTCAAACAATTGAATTGATTATGTGTACAGACCTATGCTCAAACAATTGAATTGATTATGTGTACAGACCTATTCTCAAACTTGAGCAAACTAACATAGTTAATAATGTATGTTGTGTCTTCATTTTTCTTGCACCAATTCTTGGACACAGTGTAAAATAACTCGCAGCAATCCTTTGTTACCACATTGATGCTCTGTAATGACTCTGCCTTCATTACTAATAAAGTCCCCGTCACAATTTGACTGTCACATTGTTGCTTTGTATTGACTCTGCCTTCGTTACTAGTAATGTTCCCGTCACAATATGACTACCTACGCCAGATGACAGAGTTTGAACAAACCCACCCAGACCATCCAATCAAACATATCTATTTCGAAGAAATGAAAAAGGTATGCCTCTGTCTTAAGAAGAGTATAACAATTATTTTTTTTATTTGGAGTCCCATCTTTGGGCACCAACATGTATCTAACTAGCTGACAAGATATGTGTTAACACAATTGAATGCCACGTACAGTGAAATATCATAGAGATTATTCTGTTGTTGAAATTCTTTAGGAATGTGTCATTATTATTTGGCATCGAAGAATTTGATTCTTCAATAAAGTATATAAATATATTTATATGGCATAAGATAAAAACAATTGCCTTGGGTTGTTAATCCAGGATCCGGTGAAGACCATTTCATCCCTGGCCAAGTTCCTGGGTGTTCCTGCCAGTGATACGTTCTGTCAACACGTCGCCGAGGCCTGCAGTTTTGACAACATGAAGCGAGTGGAGGACGAGGGCAAGAAGGTCATGCCCAAATCAATGGTAGACAGCCTCGATCAAAGAGGTCAGACCCCAGCTGGAGTTAAACAACTAGATGGAGGTATGCCACCACACGGAGGATCCCCACCACATCATGGAGGCAAGCGGCCACCAGCGAAAATGTCCTTTTATCGTAAAGGTAATCGTTTTCATCAACAAAATTGATGAATCCCTGCAATCCTGTAAGAACTTCATCAATGCCATGACATCTTGACGTCCTCCACCCACAATTCCATGACATCTTGATCTCCTCCATCCACAATCAAACGCCACCTTGATGTTATCCACTCACAATTCCATGATATTCTCTAATTCCCACACTCACAATCTCATGACATCTTCATTTCCTACACTAACAACATCTTGATGTCCTACACTCACAATTCTATGACTTCTTGATGTCCTACACTCAACTACGGATTAAGCACTTTTATTCCGACCTTGTGAATGATCCTGGCCTTGAACCCTGTTCTTTAGGGTAAAGTCTTCATGGCAGACTTACTTAAGGCCAATAGGTGACAGGAGGTACACACATCAAACAACTCATCACAATCATACAATGATCAGTAACTTACCAAACAAGTCATTTTAATCATACAATCATCAGTACACACATAAAAAATTGTGTCTATTGAGATCACATTTGAATCTTTTTATTAAAAAATTATATTTATTTATTTATTTAATTTTGTACCCCCTCCACAGGTGTCGTTGGTGATTGGAAGAATTCATTCACACCAGAACAAAGTCTTGAATTTGACAATTACATAAAGATGGAAGAGAATAAAGGGTTTCCTTTTAAATTTGAATATGAATAAATGGAATAAATCACCATAGAAATCAACAGCTCCACTTTCCTAATATGACTCAATAAGGCATAGATCAATTCTCCCATTAGGCATATGTCAATTCTCCCATTAAGCATAGGTCAATTCTCCCATTAGGCATAGGTCAATTCTCACGTTAGGCATATGTCAATTCTCCCATTAGGCATATGTCAATTCTCCCATTAGGCATAGGTCAATTCTCCCAATAGGCCATAACTCAATTCACCCAATAGACAGAACTCAATGACCCCAATAGACAGAACTCAATGCCCCCAATAGACAGAACTCAATGCCCCCAATAGATATAACATAATGCCCCAAATAGATAGAACATAATGCCCCCTATAGACAGAACTCCATGCCCCCATTCGACTGAGGGCGTCTGTCACATTGTGTCACAGTAAATGTTGTGAAAGGTACTTAAAAGTAACATTTTGTGACAGCAATAAAAACGAGTTTAACTTATGTCTACAAAAACTCTAATCAAGAGGAAGCACTGTACTTGATAAGTGCCGTAAACTTTAAATTATAAGAAAAACATCAAATGTTCGCTGCAAAAACCAAATTATAAAATTAAATGTTATTCGATTCGAAGACATAATTACTTAAAAACCTAGAGCAGTATGTCAATATAAAACAATGAAAAGTACAGTACTACAACCATGTAGCGTATTTCAAGAATTATGTCCAAGTAATTTATTGATTCAAACAAATAAGTAACCTTCCCCTAACTAAATTAAATGAACTATTTAAAAAAAATGTAATCTACTTTTTTTTATGTCAGGATATTTTGCATTATATATTTCCACTTTATTGTCAGAATAAATATTTATGTTCAAATCAGTCTTATGCGTGTTTAATTATTTTTATCTTATTGATTTAATTTATTAACTGTATATTCTTTTTTTTTATTGTAACCAGCATTTTCATATTGTGTCAAACCAAAGGTAACGTGAAATGCATTATGCATTAGCGACAGCATTACCTCCTCAATATCCAGGAACAAAGAGAAGTGTTGGCCAGGATGGCACATAATTTTATTACATTGTAGTTACAAGCTGGCATATGATGTCTCACTGGAGGGCACTGGGGTTGACCTATTTAAACACAAAGGGTTACCTCTGTGAACCCTATGGGTTACCTCATAAACACAGTGGTTTACCACTTTGAATTTTCGCATGGTTTACCTATGTGAGTGCTGTGGTTTACCTCTTTGAACACTTCACATGGTTTACCTATGTGAGTGCTGTGGTTTACCTCTTTGAACACTTCACATGGTTTACCTATGTGAGTGCTGTGGTTTACCTCTGTTAATATCTTGGTTTACCCCTGTAAGCTACTTAATTATCCTGTTTCAAAAGAATTACCATTGCATGGCGATATTAATATTGCATGGCGATAGTAGATATTGCTCCCAAAGAATAAATATTGCATGGCGATAGTAGATATTACTCCCAAAGAATTAATATTGTATGGCAACAGTAGATAATGCTTCCAAAAAATTAATATTGCATGCGATCATAGATATTGCTTCCAAAAAATTAATATTGTATGGCAACAGTAGATATTTTTTCCAAAGAATTAATATTGCATGGCAATAGTAGAAAATGCTTCCAAAAAATTGATATTGCATGACAATAGTAGATATTGCTTCCAAAGAATGAAAATTGCCTGGCAATAGTAGAGGTGCAGTTGTCCCAGCGGTCTTAGACCAAGCTGTCCCAGTGGTATGAGACTTAACTGTCTTAGCATTTTGAGACTAAGATGTCCTAGCAAGTTGAGACTAATCTGTCCCAGTGGTTTGAGACTAAGCTGTGCTAGCTGTTTGAGATTAAGCTGCCCCAGTAGTTTAAGACTAAGATGGCCCAGAAGATTGCCACCAGAACAGAATGCCACCAGAACTGGGTTTTTTCTTTTAAACTTCAGATTATATAAAAAACCATCAAGGATGTTTTCTTTCACAACTTCTGATTAGATAAAAAAAAAGCCACCAAGGAAGTATCCGTTTGCATATTCATTTGAACCTCTTTTAAGGCTAGATTCCACTATTGGTAACTGAAGAAGAGCTACTGGTGTCCATTCACAAGCTGACCACTTTCTATGATGAGTTATCTGCAAGTTAACTTTTAATTGACTTGTCAAGGCTGCGAAGGCACCTGAAAGCAACAGATCATCTGGAAAATGACGCCAAAGTTTGGTCAATATTTGAAGTTTGAAATGCATGGCTGAATGGGTATGCCTAGCATCTGTCCCAACCCTATCATTGAGCCAACAATTATTTCTCACAATCTGTGTGTCTGTGCATGACTTCTTGAGAGACGAACTTTGTCAAACTGAAACTTATAAGTTTATAACTTATAACTTTACAATAGAACACTCTATGCTTTAACTTTATGGTCTTGCAACTGCTCTCTACAATAGAAAACTCCATGCTTTAATTTTATGGTCTTCCAATCTTGACAACATTACTGGATGAGGTGAAGAATGTTGATTTTAAATAAGTGATTGACAGGTTTGGTGAAGTGAATGACAGTTTTGATGAAGTGATTGACAGGTTTGATGCAGTGATTGACAGTTTTTAAGGAGTGATTGACATTTTTGATGTAGTGATTGACAGATTTGAGGAAGTGATTGACAAGTTTGATGAAGTGATTATTAGGTTTGATGAAGTGGTTGACAGGTTTGGTGAAGCGATTGACAGGTTTGATGAAGTCATTGGCATGTTTGATGATGTCATTGACAGTTTTTAGGGAGTGATTGACGTTTTTGATGTATTGATTGACATATTGATGAAGTGATTGATAGGTTTGATAAAGTGATTGACAGGTTTAATAAAGTGATTGACAGGTTTGATGAAGTGATTGACACGGTCTATGAAGGGGTTGGCAGGTTTGATGAAGGGGTTGGCAGGTTTGATGAAGGGGTTGGCAGGTTTGATGAAGGGGTTGGCATGTTTGATGAAGGGGTTGGCAGGTTTGATGAAGGGGTTGGAAGGTTTGATAAAAGGGTTGGCAGGTTTGATGAAGGGGTTGGCAGGTGTGATGAAGGGATTGACAGGTTTGATGAAGTGATTGACAGGTTTGTATCTTTCATGACCCGGAATGTAACATTCTAAGTGTACATTTCAATGAAATTGTTTTAATTTAATTATTAAACTTTTATGAAGGGTTATTTAACTTTGTAATCTCAAATGCATTGTCATCTTCTTATGTCTTTCGTTGCATTGGGGTTTCATTTACCAACAAGAAGAGATTCTGCATAATCTGATTAAGATTTACTCGGTGCAACAAACAAAAAGTCGGGGGGGGGGGGGGTCGGGTCAGCACCAAGAAATTACTGCACCGGGTGACACCAACGCTCGTGACAAATCTTCTACGTTCTGCAAGAAAATCCTGAATGAAAGAAACAAAAAGTATGTGAGACATAAAAACACAAAAAAATGTTTCCGCTGGGGCTCGAACCCAGGACCTTCCGCGTGTTAGGCGGATGTGATAACCACTACACTACGGAAACTCATATTTGTAAGCTGGGAAACTAGATATAGATATATCTATTTTAAACAATTAATATTCAACTTTATGTTTTTATTAAAAATTAAATGTCTTCAAATAATTTTATGAAACACATGTTAAATTTGAATAGCCCTAAGGACCATCATATAAAAAATTGAAAGAACTTAATATAAAATCCCGAGATACTTCATTATCATTAACTTTCCAAGCTTGCCTCGTTTTGCTTTCGCGTTCGTCGATGATTGCCAAATTGCAAAAATAACTTTTAAATTAGTTATTAGACAAAACATAAATTAAAGTACTTCGCTTAAAATTATCCTTCAAAAGAAGGTAACGGATTTATGCAAAATAATTTTTGTCAATGTGCTTATTTACTGACTATCAAGAATCATTGTAATTAATATTCATGACTACGTTTTCAATTTGAAGACTTCTTAAATTATCTGGTTACCATCTATCTTTCTGCTGGGGAAGGACAAAGGAGAAGGAACTACCGAAAATGGCTGACGCACGTGAGTTAAATATTTTTATGAGAGAAACTAATCTTGAAGTGGTGCTACTTAATCTATTTAATTAAGCTGATCATGTAAAATCAGCATATAACGTTAGTAGGTTAATTAGTATAAATTTACACGATCGATATTAATGAATCGCACGTTGGAAATTCCGGTTAAAAAATTTCTTACACATAAATATGAATATTTTTTTTTAATTTGGCAAAGGAACGTTCTTTAGTTTAAACGGCTAAAATCACCCTTACGACTTTGATGTTTGGGTCTGTGTCCATGGAATCATAGCTTTCTTCATTAGAATGTGGGGATCCTTAAAACTTCAATGGTTTAGTCGGCAAATTTGGAGAGATAGCTTGCGGCTACCCACGAAATTATATCCTGAATGAATCCCTAAACCTAACCTGAACCCTAAGCTATCCCTAAACTTAACCTGATAACTAACTTATCCCTAACCTGTGTTTTGGCATGATCGAAACCAGGGACAAATTGCTCAAATGACGTCAAGGAGCTATCTCTCTAAATTAGCCAATGAAATCAGTTTTGATAGAGAGGCAGTTATAAATATTAAAAAGTAACTTGTCTGAACAGTAGTCTACTTCCTTGAAGTCCTCGCCTTACTTTTGGTAAAAAAGCAAAGTTCATATATCAGAAACACATCCTTGCTGAACACCAGTGTCACTGGTGGGGAAAGTTGCGTGCTAAAAGTGCTGTCTTTTGATTAGTTGAAAATGAAGTACTCGTATGTTGAAACTTGGTAACACAAGGGAGATTACTGCTTAAATTGTATTGGAAATGGGTGCCGGCGCAACAGTTTATGCTTAGGAAATATTTGTTTCAGAATGAGTTTAGTTTTAGAAAGCGTTTAAACCGATAGATTTTCATTTGAGGTTTAAAAGCCCAGTAGAGTCCATATTATAAATTATCATAACTTTCCGTGGACAAAATCTGTTTCATTCATAAGAATTTACCACTTGACCATCCATGTGCAAAATGATTTTCTGGGGAGGGGAGACCGCTACCCACACCTCTCCCCCCTCTTTAAATTTAAATACCAACATAAGAAACAAAAATCTTCTACCCTTCCTCAGAATTCATCTCCCTATTTTCAAAACTATTAAGTAAAGACAACAAAAACTTTAAGTCTTTAAATTTAAGTGACCACAAGCATAAATATTGCATTCTTTTGGATACTGTGCTGTAGACACAAGTTGACCTGGGGGAACTCCATGACCCCAATGTACTGTGGAACACATTGCTGGCCTTACCGCTAACCTAAAATCAAACTTGTTTAATCTTGATGATTTTGAGATGTCATTTACGATTGTACGCCAAGTTCTAACAGAACTGGGTTTTTAAGATACCGGGTTAAAAAATATTTACATTACGTAAGTTTTTTCGATATAGAAAGAATTAAAAAATTTAACAGTACGATTTCGGTTGTTTTAATTTCCATTCTACATCCAGCACTGAATAAATTAAGAAATATGATTGGTTGGGCGCGGACCACAACTACAATTATATTACATTTTCCCTGAGAGGGGAATGTGGTGATTTTGATTTAAATTTTGTGTGCAGGTTTTTTCAAAATGAACTTGCTATACACGGCTACAGTAATATTAATCATTAATGTGATCACCCTAGTGACATTTTTGAAGGGTTGTTGATAATTTTGAGATTATGCATAGGCTGTGACTATTCGCACCCGGGTACCAGAAGTGAGAGGTTGGGATTAAAAAGTATTTAAAATATAATTGTTGGGTTTGTAAGACAAAATGAGGTATCGAATGAAAGATAATTGAATGGTCTATATGTTTGTATACTTCTTCTTCAGTTAAATTAAAATAAACTACCACAAATGACATCTGACTAAAGCAGGGCTCTCAAACTCGCAGGCCATTTGCAAAATAATGAAAATATATTCAAATTTTAATGGTTACGCAAAATATATTGACCCTTATTGGTTTTTCAATATCGTAATGAAACTTAGTACACTCATTAAAAATGCAATTGTTTAAAGAATGACACCCAGCTCACTGCATTGCAATTATTCAGGATCTGCAAATTACATATGCAGACCTGTTAATACTCTACGATTTTGGTGTACAATTTACGATTTTGAGGTTTATACATAAATTATACATACTGTATGTTTATGTTTTTACTATTAAGATAATGTATTGAACGATTTTTTGATGATATTGTATGATTTTAAGAGTTTGAGAGTAAGCAGGCCAGCTTATGTGGGATCACACAAATTTTGGGGGGTGCATGGCATATGTAAAAGAAAAAAATATTAAAATTAAAAAAAAAAAATTTTAAGCAGGTGCTATTATATTGAGAATTTCAATGGGAAGTTTGAAGTCTATAGCTATAACACTTCTCCTGATACATTTGGCATTCATCAAGAATCTGAAAAGTGCAAAGTTTAGAAAAATTCAAGCTCACGCACACAGTTATATTATTTAAAAGAATTGATGAAATTTAAACAAACTAGTTTGAGTGTTGGATTGCAAATGTAGGGACACCATATCAAGGCAAGGGCTGGTGGCTGTAACATTAAGCTTTCCTTTAAAATAAAAATAAAACCTTTCATTAACATTGTTACGCACTGACTTGTATTGGGAGAAATTAATCTCCTATTTTAATTTTGATTGGCTCGTTGTAAGCAGTGCCTAACAAAGGACGATACCATATAATCAACAATATTAAAGATACGACCCAAAACAGTTTCTAGTTACAATTAATTAAGATTTATTATGTCTTAAGATAATTATAAAATAAAATAAAATTACAATCTTCAACTTACAGTATGGCAGATGTCGTACCGGTACACAGTTAATACAATTAGAAATAATGATGCCAATAAATAATGCGAAATAAACACATAAGTAGGAGCACACAAATACACAAAGAATAAAACACGCCTCGTAATGTTAAGAGAATCTATAAGAAAATCTCCCTCTGTTCTCGTCCGTGCCTGTCAATCCCTTAAATAGGTGGGTCTACCGACGCCTCCAGAAGGGCTTATGACGTGTTGTTTACATATCTCGGGTTAAGGAGTATATTCCAGAAATTACCCGGAGACAATTCTACCCAATGCGTAATTGGAAGCGGATTGTAAACAAGCTACTTCAAAGACCTAAGCCACACCCCTTTGTGAACACAGCGTCTCATGCGGGGTCAATCAGAGGGCACGCACGAGAAATATTATGTAAACAAGCTCTCTATAACAAACATCTTTATTAGAAGTCTGGTAATGAATTTTTAGTGACTATTGTGAGTCTCAGTTATCTGTATAGTAAAAAAGACTGAACCTTTTTTGTACATAATGTCTTAAACTTGTGACATAGTTATTTTTGCATACAATAGTATTTCTTGTAAGTTTAAGCCAAGATCCGGCTTATATTTTAAACAAAATATTTTTTGAATATTTGTTCATTACATTAATATACCACTATTTTTTGCTGTTGTCCATTAGATCCATTACATCTGACTTCAGCATGCATTTTTAGCCTTGTCTGTGTTAGTTTGAAAAGGGGTTGGGGGGGGGGGATTATGTTGACTTGATCATTTGGTGGTGTTGGGATTTTAGACCCAGAATGTGGGCACACTCGTGTTACCTGCCTTCTATTTCTTAGACTGATTATATGTTTCATCAGTCAGCAAGCATTAAAAAGAAAAATGGACTGACTCTCTTGAACCATACCTCAATTTTTATGTTTCATTTCATGTTATGTGTATACCTTCTTCTACTCTTCAGGCTCGGGTTAGGGATCTGCGAGTATTTAAGACCACTAATGCATGGCATGGCTTTATTATGTCTTGAGACTGCACTGTTAGCAGTAAAACCTTAAAAGGATGCATTTAGAAATTATATGCCCACTGAATTTTTTACCAAGTACTTAACTCTTTCGCTGCGGAATTTTTTCATCGAAAAAATGTACATTTTTTTCGAAGAGCGGAAAAAGAGTGAGAGGTTGGGTTTATTAAAAAATATTTAAAATATTATTCTTTGGTTTATAAGACTAAACTTAGTATCAAATGAAAGGTAATTGAAAGGACTATATATTTGTACACTAGTTTCTACAGTAAAATGTGAAAACATTTTATGCTAAACCATTTTTCCCCAAACCTAATGATATACGCATACCTCATCTTCAATTCTATAACTCAATTCCTCTAAAACTACTACCATCGGAATCATGCAATGTATCTAAATATAAATTATCTTCGCTGTCAAAAGAAATATTATAAAACAATTTCAAAGCGTTTTTTAACTGTTAATCGTCTAGGAAACTTACCTACTAGAGCCTGGGTAGCCATAGCAACAGTAAAAAAAAAAAATGCGAAGAAAATCGTCGAAATAATGCTTATAAATAAATAAGCCTTGGTTTCGATTGTAAACAATGAAGTGCCACTCTTCTATGTAAAAATCTTATTTAAAAATAGCTCTTAAAAAGTTTAACTGAGAAATAGCAAAGAAAGAAACATGATATTGAAACAACGCACAGCGCGTTGGTCCGTGCTTTTGAGAACGGCGGAAGAACGCAGTGTGCGTTGTTCCGCATCGAAAGAGTTAAAACTACTCTATTAACTTATTCAGTTTTTACTGAAAATTTTGCCTTACTGTGATGAAACTTTGGACTAGAGTCACTGAATCTATGTGATGTTTCATGTGTCTTCTGAACTTTGGCTGAATTTTAACCTATTACCTTGTGAAAACCTGATGCTGATAAGCCACTGTTTCATTTGTGCTTAACTCTTCTTATTTTTAGAGTATGGTGCCTATAGTCAGCAACCAGCTGCAGGACAAGGGGGGTAAGTTGTGGATCACATTTTTATATTTCTTTCTGGTATTTGCGCAGATTATAGCTCTCTTTTGCCGTAAAATATTAATTTAATTCTCAAAATTGCCATTGAACACTACCATTGCGCTCTCTTAACTTATGTTCACCAAATACTGATATTGGTAGCAATAAAAATAAACACTTAGCTGAAAAAATAAACACTTAGCTGTAGTGTAGTATCAGAGTGGAGTGATTATTAACGTCTAGTTACATTGAATGGCCATGATCATTTTCTCTTCAAATAGGGGCTTGGCAAATAGACCATTATACTCAATTTTTAAATGAAAATATTCATTTGCAAACTTTTGAAATATCTTCTTTGCAGATATAACTATGGTAGCTATGGTGCTGCCGATACTGCCTATGGTGGTCAACAAGGTTATGCACAGCCTGCTGCAGGGGTGAGGTTGTTTTTTTGTTTTTTTTGGTGGTGCAATTTTTTTAAATAATCGTGTGGTTTGTAATTATATGTGCCCCTTCTGTACAATTAGATGTAACTTTCTAATTGAATAAGACTTAAAAGATGTATAATTTCAATGGAGTTTTGGAGCTTTTCCTTTTATTTGCACATACAGGGCTACGAACAACAAACACAGCAAGCTTACACTGGATATGACCAAAGTGCTTATGGAGGGGGCGCTGGAGCACCTCCTGCTCAAACTCAGCAACCTTCACCCTATGGTGCCCAAGCTCAGGCTCAATCAGCATATGGTACATTTTGTTTGTTAAATTGATTTTTCACATTATAAAAATTCGGTTTGCTTAGTAATTGTGTATTTAGAATGTTTGTTTCAGTACATACTTGTGCAGTTATTTTCTTTTGTTTTGTTGGAAATTTTTTACTTTTGAGAATATTTATTTTCATTATTCAAGGTGGTAGTAATGTGCCCATGGGTTATGGACAACAAGGAAGCTATGGTCAACAGGGAGGGGATATGTCAGGGGCTTACAGTCAAGGAGGTAAAGTACTCTTCAATATTTACTGTAATTAATTTTTTTCTCCCTTTTTGCTTACAATTCAATTTGTGTTTACAATTTGCTCCCTTGTCTTTTTTCAGGGGGCTATGATCAATCAGCCCAACAAGGAGGAGTAGCAGGTGGTGGTTATGGTCAAACAGGTGGGGCTGGCACTGATCCTTACGGTCAATCTAGTGGATATGGAGCTCAACAGGGAGGATATGGTCAGCAGGTAACATCAACTGGTTATTTGAAAACACTTCCTATTTCTGTCCTGTTCAGTTTAAAAAAAAAATTTGTTTCTATTGAATATTACATGCAATTATTGTTAACATTTTCAGCAACAAAGTCCAGCTGGATTCGGAGGTGGCGGCAATGGTGGTTATAATCAAGGTGGAGGATTTGGAGGTGGTGGCAGCAGTGGAGGTGGGGGTTTTGCCGGTCGTAAGTAGTTCAATCTTATCAATCAGATTATTTGCATAACTTTCCTGAATTTAGAGGGAAATGTACCCTAACGTCAAGCTTGTAGTTGATAGTGAGTTTTATATGTCTTTTTAAAATGGAAAGGATAAAGAGTGTATGTTTACCTTGATTTTATACTCATGATGATACAGTTCATTCCAAAAGAATGGGATTGATTTTAGTTTCCTAGTTTTCCAGCCATAAGTTAGTTGGGTTTTGTCTTGCTTTTCTATTTTTAATACATAACGGTATGGTTAATTACTTTATTGATTTTTGTTCAAGTAATCATTTTTATCTCATTGTAATTGGGGGTAGTTAATTTTGCTGTTTGATAGATTCTTGGTGAATACACTGATATTTCGGTTGTTAATAGAAACAGTACGAGAAAATGTACTTGTTTTTATGTAATCAGGTGGTCAAAGAGGCAATGATGGAGGATACAACCAAGGAGGCGGTGGTTTTGGAGGAGGTAGAGACTACATTGAGGGTAGTGATAGAGGAGGTTTTGGGGGTGGCCGTAAGTAGCTAGTCGCGGATTGTTTCTATGCCTAGCCTAGGATGGGACTGGTTAATTCCATATTTGCTTATTTTATAGATACAAACAATATAAGCTGCTAGACACGTTTAAGGTTCTTTATGGTGCTGTATTCCATTGTGTAAATGTAAACATTTTAATTTCTATCAGGTTTTAACATCTAGAGTCAGCTTTTATTGTTGGCATAGAAAAATTTTGGGAAGTTCACCTTTTAATTGTTATGTTCCCACAGGTGGAAGAGGGGCTGAACGTGGTGGTGCTGGAGTTATTGCGGGTGGGGCATATGGGTAAGTTTGTCTTTTCTATTTAAATATACTACATAGTCTCTGCAAGTATTAGTTTCACTGGGTTTTTTATGGTGCAATTTGACTATCTTAGTGTTACCTGTAAGAAAATTAAACGTTTATTTACTTCTATTTACTGAGATGCTGGTATTATAAACTAAGACTTGAAAAGGAGGAGAAATCTTGAATAACATAACAAAGTGGTTCTTTCTAAGACCATTAATAGATAATGGTCATCTTCGGATGGTTTATTTTGAGTGAGTGTAATCTGACAATGCAATATAATGATACATTACTCTTGTTTCAAGCAGGTATTTTACTTTATTTATGGGTTTTATAATGGAGAAGGTTTAGGGTGAAAATATGAATACAATGATTTACTTTGGTGTACTCGTGAAGTCCAATGGTTTATTACTGACAACAAAAGGTTTCCAAAGGGAGGTTGTTACTTGTGTAATTTAACAGGTTTTGCGCCATGACAGAGGTTTAATTATTTTTGAAAGCCTAATTGTGGCATAGATGGTTTATTGTTTTGTTATGTGGCTCTGATTGTCATTAGTTGAGGGTAATGTGTATTATGAACATGTTCTACTGGTTCCTGGTCTGCGAGCCTCTAAACTGGTTGGTCAAACGTCCTATTTCTAAACTTGTATTTATATTTTTCTATTTTGTTAAAATTATTTTATTTTAATTAACAAAGCCAAGATGTATACATCGAGAAAAAGATTATGCTGCTTTATTTTTACACTGAATTGGTAGGCCAACAATGAAACAACTTTTTTTTGTTTGAATATTGTTTTTGTCTGCAACAAACTGCATTGCTTTTAGTTTAAACCTCATGTAGCTTGTATCTGCTGAGTTCAAGGAGCACTGGCCCAGCTACCAGTGTTTTAACCCAGCAAAAATATATATACATTTGTAAATTTGCATCAACCTTGGCAATTATACATTTGAATGTTATTTCCTCTTTTACAAAAATAATTTTCAAACCTAGACAACTTATAAAGACGGTAAGTTTACAACATGAAGCATACTTGTTTTTTGGTCAACCAAAACCATGCTCTGATGTGTAAAAAATAAATTAAAAAAATTGTGTCCTGAAAAATACATGTTTGCTTAAGTGCAAATAAAAGGTGATTTATACATTTTGATTAAAGTATCAAGTAAATGCTTACAATCTGGTTATTGTATATATTCTTGTGTAGCTTATATTGGTAGCCCTATTGGTAAATGGCCTTTGGCTCTACTCCCAGCATACCAAATCTCCTCCAGTATTCCCCAACTTTTGGATAATATGTATGTCATCGAGCAAAAATTGCTTGCTGAAGTCAGATGTACAGGGCTATCTTTGTGCTGAATATGCTACTGAGAAATGCCTCGCATATCGGAATTAAGTCCTAGCTAATTTAGGGAATGCTGTAACATGTCAATCTAAGAAATCGCTCATTGCTACTGCATTCTTGTTTTGGTGACGTTTAAATTTAGCTCAATTTAGTTAACCTCAACGCCTGGTTGAAACATGACTAAATTAGCATGATGTAGGTATTTATTTTTTGCTATAAAAACACCACAGTAATTTCTTAAAACAATGGGAAATGCCTTTGTTTTAAGTTGATTGAAATACTACGGTAATGTAATTGTGTTGTATATTTATTTGTATATTTGAAAATTACAAAATTTTGATGTTATGATATATCAGAGCCACAAAGCAGTACAATCATTCCCCTGAGGTTTTTTGGTTGTTATTTTATGTGATTATTGCTCAGCCGTGTAATATACAGGTGTGTAATAGAACCGGCATATTTAACATCAAGTGTTATCAAACCACTTTTTTTAAAATTACATCTGAGTGGGTTGAGTATATTAATATTCTGATGAGGGTCCTCAAAGTGGTTATTTGCACATGGGGGAAGCAGTAGTATATTTAGCTTTGCTCTAGCTGTTCTGCGACAATGGCACCAAGGGCAACATGACTTATGTGGGCCTGCAGTTGCTAACTTCTACATGAATCTTCATTCCAGCGGCAGTCGAGGTGGAGGTGGATTCAACAAATTTGGAGATAGGGGTGGTAAGTCCCATGGTCCGTACAGGGTCTACTTGAATTATTTTCTGTATTCCCAAAGGCCACTTTTAAATCAGTTAATTAGAAAATTATTTGGATGTTACAACTGTCTGCCTGTTGTCTCTGTCACTTGTTTAATATTAAAATCCGTTGCCCATCATCCCCCTCTTTCCAGGTTTAATTAATCTATAAAATAGTTTGTTGCAAATGACTAGTAAATATAAATTTGGTTGACTTCTGCCCCAGTTTTATTCATAATTAGTGTGTAATTTTTAAATTCCATTTGTTTGTTGATCTTTACTATGATTATAACAAGACGTGAGAAAAAGGTGGTTTTACATTTTTACAATATGTTGTATTCATACAAGAATTGCATTTGGGAGGGATAACATTTGCAAAGTGGTTAGCAGTATCCAATTCGATTTTGTTAAGACAGTTTGTTGGTTAATGCCAAGCTTTGCTGTACTTAGTGCAACACCCTTTAAGTTACATACTACAGTTCAGCCCTTTCCTGTATGATATGCTCCCTGCATATATATATTTATTCTTTATACACTGGTTGTATTTGAATCCAAAACACATCCAATCTGAATAACACAAACAAGGCTAAAGTAGGTGTATTAACTTATATATTTTTTTTTCTTCTTGAAGTCCTTGAACCATTTCAAATTTTGTTTCCGTTATTGAATTGAGTAATGGTTTTCTTGTTTTACCTAAATCAGACTGGAAGTAAAAAAAATAAATTTGAATGTATGGATATGATAATACATAAACATGTGTAAACATTTTCAGTGTGGGTTATAATTTTAGTACTTGCACATGACCTGTAATGGTTTCAGTGTTCCTGATATCTTTCTTACTTTGGTTCATGGAAAGTAAAATACTGGTTTATATTAAAAATTGCTGTGTAGAAATGGATGAGATTCAATGACTGAATGGTTATTAAGATATTTGAGTATAGTACACCTTTGTTCAGTTGTTTCTGAACAAGACACTCAAGGTTATCATTGGTGGAAACATGTGACGAGAGCAAATTTTACACATTATTTATCAAAGGATTTTTTTTTGTTAAGTGCATGATTATTTTCTTTTTAATGAATTGCTTACATGATTAGCTGGGTTTTGGTTGTCAGTACTTACTTTTAAAAGGGTTGTTACTTAAAAGCTATCTTAAGAGCTTTTGATACTTAACATGCAAGTAATTTTCCATCGATATTGTACTTTCACTACCCAAGCCTGTGGTACACCTTGTGTTATAAAGATTATGGTCTGGTTGTCAAATTTCTGTGGTGTAATCCCTCCTTACCCTATCCTGTCACAAAGTCCCATCATGTGGTGCCGCAGGTTATATTATTGGCCAGTCCTGTGCCAATGAATTTAAATTTAACTAATTTCATTGCTAAACACATACAAATAGAGCTGAAGGTGTGTTTTTACCGCTGTCATGTTGGACTCTGCAAAAGCCTAAAAAAAATATTGAACTGTTTTTTTAATTATAAAGTGAATTAGATTTTATTCATTTTGCCTGTGGTAATAATGATAGTGTAGCAAAATGAATAGAGTATTGTTAAGCATTTGAAAAATAAATAGGACCCGACATACTTTGTGAGTTGAAGGCAGAAAAAGTTGCAAAGGTACTTGCTGTTTCAAGGTCTTGGTCACCTTACACATTTTACGGAATTCACAAATTAATACCGTATGATTCCTTGTCCATATTTTGAGAATATGTATGCTTATCTGGGCCTCTGTATTTATTTGCTATGAGTTTCTGTTATTTTAATCGATGAAACAATTTTCGCAGCATTGTAAAGCGGTGATAAAACTAAAGTGATGCATACTTTAAACAATTGTCATTAATTGGTATTTAAATTTATTTAAAACACACAAAAAAATTGTTTTTAATAATCTGGAGCATCAAGCAAATTAATATGGTTATTTATGCACTGGGCTCAAAGTAGTCCTTGACAAGAAATCACTTGGGTAGAGGAAATGGGTTGTCAAAAGCCGTCCTTTTTTAAAAAGTGGTGTGTATTTCAGTTCAATAACTGACACGAATTCTAATAATAGTAATATTGCGTGATATGCTGGGATTCTCGTAGTTAATAATTCAAATGTGACTGAAATGTTACATTCCACATTATTATTATTCAGTGGTGTGTGTGTTCTTGTTACTACCTAGGTGCTCTTTTAAACATAAGAGAATTCAATCGTATTTAATATTAGTTTCAAGTGATATATATTTGTGATGTTCCTTTTCTTCCTATTTCAACTTAAAAAATTTATTTGCAGGACGAGGTAGTGGCCCAGGAAGTGACCGCAGCAGCAGTGGTGGAAGTTATGGTGCCGGGAGAGATATGGAAGTGCAGCAGGATACAATATTTGTATCTAACATGGGACAGGATGTTTCTGAAGAGCTTCTTGTGCAGCACTTTGGCAGTATTGGAGTAATTAAAGTTAGTTTATATTAGTCTTTGCATATGCAGTATAACTCAAAGCATACTTGGCAGGTTAAGGATTCTGACTGCAAACTTGAAGATATCCAGGATATGTAGTTACTTTTTTTATCCCTCTTCCAGACAGACAAGAAAACGAATACGCCCAAGGTTTGGATTTATAAAGATAAAATGACCAACATGCCTAAAGGAGAAGCCACTGTGACTTTTGATGATCCAGATACTGCAAAAGCTGCTATTGATTGGTTTGATGGTAGGCTGCTTGATGTATTAAACTAATTTGTTGAGGATTTTATGTTTAGAATGTATGTATTCACTTGTCCACATCAGTCTCCTTGATTTCCTGGTTTAGCAGAATTTGTATTAAATGCCTTCGTTTAGAGGTAAAGAAAGGCCCAGATCTTTACTTATGCCCCAAAAATGTCACTATTATGTTAGATTATTAATTTTATAAGACAATTGTGTAGACTTAAGTTTTGAACATATTTTTCAGGCAAAGATTTTAATGGCCGCACAATTAAAGTAGAATTAGCACAAAGACAGCGCAGTGCATTTGGTCGTGGGGGTGGTAGAGGAGGTGGCGGCAGTGGTGGTCCACCAGGAAGAGGAGGTAAGTTACTTCAACTGTTGCATTTTTTTTTAACTCGATTTTTTTTCATTGGTGTATTTTTGTTAGTCTTGGTGTGTGATAACAAAACATTTAGTCATAATTTACACAAAAGAGCTGGATAATGTTTATTTTTTACATTTACACATTCACATTTGTTTACAGGTGGTGGATTTGGTGGAAGAGGAGGTGGTGATCGAGGGGGGAGAGGTGGTGACCGTGGAGGTAATGCATATTGAAAAACATTTTGGATCCACATCTTAAATGTTCTATAATATTTGCTATCTTTTTGTTATCAAGATATAATAATAATCTTTGCTAATGAATAAAACTTAAATTTTTCAGGATTTGGAAGTAATGGAGGTGGTGGTGGCGGCGGTGGTGGAGGTGGAAGCAGTGGGGGTCCAGTAAGGGAAGGTGATTGGACATGCCCTGTTGAGTAAGTTGCATACATTTTTTTGTAGTGTGTCATCTAATCCAAAGTAGCCTTTGTATTGCTTCTTTTTAATATTTTCTAATGTTTACATTTACATGCAAGCTATAGGAGTTTCTTCATGATTTATAGCTCCATCATTGTGGACAATTAAAATCTAAGCATTGATTACATTCTTAACATAAATTATGTATGCTCCTTCTCAGTGATTGTGGAAACACTAATTTTGCTTGGAGGGATTCATGTAACAGATGCCATGCTCCTCGCCCTGGAGGTGGTGGTGGAAGTGGAGGTGATGACAGAGGTATGTTTGCTAGTGTATCATTTGTTTTTACAGATTGTTTAAACGTTAATTGTAGATTTCAAGGTCATTTTATTGGGGAGAGTGAGCATTTTTCATTCTCATATTTGTTGGTAATTTTACTTTGTTGATTTACATTCATACTTGTGAAAGGTCTTGCTTAACATGATCTAGTAACCAGTTATATAAGTTTAAGATGTCCTATGCATTAGTCAGATAATTATAACTTCTTTTGACATCTTTATTTGAACTTATTTAGATACTTAATAATTTTTTAAAACACTTTTTAATAATTTAAATTGCAGGTCGTGGCAGGGGAAGAGGCGGAGGCTTTGGTGGACGCGGAGGTGGTGACAGATTTGGTGGGGGTGGACGTGGAGGTGGTGGAGGAGGAGGAGGAGGAGGATTCCGTGATAGAGGAGACCGAGATGGTGGTGACAGGGGTGAACGTGGAGGTTTTAGAGGCGGGCGTGGTGGTGATCGGGGAGGTCGTGGAGGAGGTGATAGAGGTGGCGGTGGAAGAGGCGGTTTTGACAGGTTCGTACCCATTCTTTTAAAGATTGATTTTAAAATTTTTGTGTTAGTAATTTCTTTACTTTATATATTCTGCCTGATCTTATAATGTTTCTAGAAATATATTAATTCAAGTTTTTTTTAAATATAAACATTTTGTGCTTTTGCAGAGAACGAAATGATAGAAGATCACGGCCCTACTAATTCTGCTCAGTGTCATGACGGCTCTTGTATTATTGATTGTAATTATTCCTTTAAAATGCCTATAGTATTTTATTCTGTGAGAATGATTGAAATTATGATTTACCAATTTTTATGAGGACCCAAATGTAAACAATGTTTTTATCTAGATGAGAAACAATAATTGGATATATTGTTTTTTTTTAAATCTTAGTTTTGGTATAACTTCTGAATGTTATGATGGGATGAGTATTTGATATTTGTATGTCATAAATCATGTTTGATCATTGCTTAGTACAACTTGTCATTTTCTTTTAAGTTTCATTTTGTGAAGCTTCTTCTTTTCATCTTGGGTCCATTATGAATAAATATGTACAAAAATGTCTTGATTACCGTATTATTAACTTGTTTATTGTATTTCTGTAAAGGTTAATTACAGTTACAGTATGTTGTTAGACTACATACTTTTCTTATGCTTTTTTCCCTGCCCGGGGCACATACCCTCAAAGTTTACATGTATCAATTGCTAAGTCATGGTGTTGATAGTACTAGTAGTTGGAATCACCGCCCCATCTGCGGGATGAAATAGTCATTTCAACTCGGTTTGATATGCTTGAATTCCCATTGTCCACTGGCATGCCATCAATTTTTTAGAAGGCTTGGTTAATGTGATGTATTGATCTTTATGCAATGGTTTCTGCTAAAAAAAACTTTAATCAGGAAATACATTTTCTTAATAATTTCTAACACTATGTAAAGTACTTAAATAATATAGTATGCTCAAGGGACTTGGACTACCAGCGCTACTGGGCAGAAAGAGCAATGATAATATTGATATTTTTAAAATGAAGAATTCAAGTAAGGAACTTGACTGAAGATGCCTTAGTTTGAAAAAGCTTGCCTTGGGGTAACTGAAGAGAAGACAAAATTTATGATCATGTCAAGAAATGCAAATGGTGACAACAGCAAAATAAGCAAGGGCACATTTGAGATTGGATACTTTCAAATAACTAGGAGAGGAGCTACTAGTATATATACTAATGAGGACAATATCTCGGAGGTGAAAGAAATGACAACAGCGGGCAAAGCTAGGATTTTATGATGAAATACAATTTTAAACAGATAGCCAATGTTTTATATCGGTACTTGACAAGAACGTATTAATAGTAAAAGTACATACCTTGTTTATAATGATGTAAAGGTTGTTTAATACTGTGGTTGTTAAAGTTTTTAAAAATATGGATGAAAGTACCACCTGTACAAAAATATGCCAACAATGGGAAGGATATAATATTATTATTATTATTCATACTGTAACGAGATTAACCTTAAACAAACTGATCATCAAATATTTCGAGCACAGGGATATTTCATTGGTTTCACTTACTTATACGGGTACTAATTGTATATTTTTTTGTCGGGGGGGGGGGCGGCACACGACTTCTTTCCCACCCAGAGACACGTTGAAACTTACATTGTAATTGTAAGACACAAAGGGGGCGGAAAGTCATCCATCGATTCGAATGGAAAAACTGGTAGAGCTTGAACGAGTTATTTTTCAACTATCAATGAGTACCACACTTGTTATGGACAAGTTCGTTGTATTTGATTGAAAATAAAATTAGAAACGTTTTATTTTAAATTTAAAGGTCACCTAAATAAATTAAGGATTTATTCAATTTCATTGAATTTTATTGAATTTTCCTTCGGGAGGGGAGTTAACTATTTTAAATAATAAAGACCAACAATTTAAAAAAAATTTGAATTATTTCAATTTTGAGCAATTGTGTTCGGAGCAATAATATACGAGTACGGTATAAGAGAAATTATTGGCATTTTCACAAGATTTAACTTTGCAAATTAATCCGTATTTCTTCACTAAATTTTCTTATTTGGAAGGTCAGCAACCAAATTAGTACTGGGGTACAGGTAGAAACTGGCTGTATTTCGGTACCGTACTTACTTTTAAGGAGGCCTTCGTCACTACAGTGCAACACTTTTTCTGAGTACGGTACCTTAGAGGCGAGTAAAACCTTTTTTTCAAATTATCATATTTTGAAGCAAAATCCAGAAATTTAAAATTAATATGCATTTTTTTTTACAAATGCAGCGCTTTCATTTTATTTAATAGTAATAGTAATAGCTAAGGCCTATTCTATTTGCAAAAAGTGGGGGGTAAAAATTCTTTAAAAAATAGCCAAACCCATTGTCAGTAATGAAAAATGACATAAGTCTCACCTACTCAAACCTCCCTCTTTCTTTAAAAAAAAAAAAAAAAAAAAGAACGACTTCATAAATGACTAAATAATAAAAAAAAAAAGAAAAACAGAGTATGGTTAAACCAAAAAAATAAAA